GCACCATTCCCAGTAATCACAAGATGGCTGCTGCGCCGCATCAGCTGATAATCATCTCTGCTTACCGGAACCACTTTCCCGAAACTGCATTCCATGGAAACCCACCTACAATTGTGGAACTGCACTAGACCCACCCTTAATCCAACCCTGAATAGAATCTATGTTCTCTATTGTTAAAAACTTTATGAGCTGTTAATTGAAACACTAGCCCCTCTCCCTTTACTTGCATGTAACACGTTTTCAATAAAAACACACGATTCCTAGCAGTTGTCACTCCTCAGAGAGCAATCTCTGAGGGGTGTCCAGCATAGGACGTGCATAAAAAGGCATCGAGGCCTCTGTCTTCTGTTCACCTTCATCGAGATAACCCACCCACGCCGAGGCTGGTCCCCGGCATCTGCCAAAGTTACAAAAAATGAATTTTAAATGCTCACTTCCATTTCTTAAAATTAGTTTGACACCCTTTGTTTCAGTAAGGAACAGAAAACCTAACAGTTGCCACTTACGGGATAGGATTCCCACGTGGCCTGCTGTGGTTCCAGTCCTGGACACGGAGTCTTAAAAATCACTTAGGGTTGGGACCAGCAGTTAGCATAATGGCTATGTCGCTGGATTCCCATGTAGTCCACTGCAGTTACAGTCCTGGATCTGGTGGCTTAAACTCATGCTGGGTGCGTGTGCGTGCGTACCCGGAGAATGGAGAAGGGATTGCGACGTGGCCATCCCCCCTGGGGGGGGGGGTTCTCGCTTTCTGTCTCTCTCTCTCTCTGTCTCTGTCTGGCGAGCGCATGAGTCCTATAGCAAAAACCTCTCCAAAAAAAAAAAAAAAAAATCACTGAGGGGGATGATTTCTCACTTTCCTTCTATCTCTGTACAATTAGTAAACTCACCCTATGGCAAGACACAAAACAAAACCTAATGTGTAATTAGATCGTATGTATTGATAGTATGTACGTATTACAGTGCCGGCACACAGACATATAGCTGGTAGATGGAGCTAGTTTCCAGTCCTTGTTCTAGCATTCTCAGGAAAAGGTCTGTGTTCTCGGGAGTCACTGGGAATTTTATATTGTTCATATACCTCTACATGTATTTTTGACTTTTAATTAACTTTAATAGTTAAAAATATACCCTCCTCCATAGAGATATTTATTTCTGGCTGAGTAAAATGATACTCGGTGTCACATATTCTAAAACAATTTTAAGCAGGGATTTATGTTTGGAAAAAAAAATCAAAGGAGAAAGTGATTACAGTAGACTTAGGACACTGCCCATATATGATAAACTAAGTAGGCTCATAAAATTTGAAGTCTTCCTTTCACCATGCACGCTGGGACGGAAGCCCTCAAATTTGAGGGTTTAGGATAAAGTTCAAGCTACTCGGGAACATCAAGATAAATTTTACTGTGCAACAGTGCTTTCAATAGAAGGACTTAAAGGAGTAAGTCCCACAGCCCAAATCCGGAAAAAGGTTAATAACCCAATCTGGCTTCAACAGCTGCCGGTTCTGGAGTCTCAGCGAGGCGCCACACACCTCCCCAGGACCTCACCGACGCGGCCCGCCGCGCTGCCCAGCTGGAGCAAAGGAAGGGGGCGGGGGCTCCTCCG